TGGAAATTAAGATCAAAGGTACAGAATGATCTTGAGGTTGCTCATGCTCCCCATGCTTTCCTGGCGGATTAAAGAATGATGAGGATAAGAGATGAGCATTTTTTTCCCCTGCATATCCAAAAATGGCAGACAGGAGCAGCAGACTTTCTGCAATCTGATTCTAAAAAGGAAGTACGGAATAAAAAAAAAAGATTCATTCAGAGTGATTTAGGAAGATACTTATGAGGTACCCTTTTGTATCTGGGATTTTGGAAAGCCCAGAATTAGTAGCCCTCATATATCATGTTAAATTAAAATATGAATCTGACTTTCCATATTTTATGAACTCAACTATTAACTCAACTGAAAAGATATCTACAGACCCCTCACATCCTGGACATAAACTGTTTCATCTCCTTCCCTCAGGATGGCGCGATAGGGAATTGTATGCCAAAGCAACTAGACAAAGAGAGTTTTTTCCCTCATGGAATCAATCTGCTGAGCATCTAATTCTCACAGTGCTTTCTGATGTTTATATTTTTCCCCATGTAGTATGACTGTAATATTATTTATCCTTCTTATCTTCTTTACTCCCCCTCCCCTTTATTGGTGTTATTATTATTCTGTATATTGAGAACTTGTGCAGCAGAGACAAATTTCTTGTATATCAAATCACACACAGTATTCTATTCTATTCTATTTCAAAAACAATATCTTATGTCTTAGCATGTTGTGCAAACCCAGGCAGTTTTGCTTTATTAAACCAGTTAAATCATGGTTAAAATTAGGTTTAAGATAGTGTGAGAGCCCAACCAGTATAAAGCTGAAGAGTATGAGAACAGTTTTATGTAAAGCTGCATGTGGACAAAACCTTCATATCATGTTTGATTCCCAAAATAGTTCTAATATTTAACCATGGTTTGATAAAATTGAACAAAACATGGCTCAAAAGAAAGTTTAGGATGCATAAGGGAATCAGAATTTGTGAGGACAGGAATATTCCTTTTGCTCCTATATCAATTTGACAAATGAGAAGCCTGAGCATATGCATTAGTTGAGGCACTACAAGTGCCATTTTAATTACAATTAAATAAAGACAGAATTAGCAATTATTTATCAAATAATACATTTGATTTCATTTTAGATATCTCTTAATTGTTCTAGAAGTAAACATCCAATTTCCTTGGATAGATTCTGTCAACATTGTTTCTGATAGAAAAGAATATTTATAGCTCAGGATTGAGCTGTGGGATTCATGGTGATTTCTGAGCTTGTTTTCTTTGGTTATTTCATTACCAAACGAGTTTACATCATCAGTGCTAGAAGTAGGGTTTTACTCTTATACCAGTGTCTTGGCCTCTCAGTACTGGTGGGAGTGGTCTTTGTGGTTCTTTGATTGTTTACTATTACTATTAGCTTGCTGGTCTGAGTTGATAGTTCTTTGATCAGGGCATTGTTTATTTCTTGGTCTAATGTTAATTTTAGGTGTTAATCTCTCCTCATCTGGACGTTGATTGCTGGTGAGATCTTTTAGGTTTTTTTTTAATTGAATGTTGTGTTCTTTATTTCAATGTACTTGATGTTGGCTGATCTGAGCATCGGGATTCCAGGAATTCTTTAGTGTTTTTGGACTTAGCTTGATCTAGGATCATCATAATTTTCCAGTTAAAACCTGGTTGAATCTTTTCATGTGTTGTGAAATTAAGGAATTTTCATCATGTCTTCTCACTGCTAGTTTGTGTCCATGGATGTCCTCAGTTAGTTTTCTGCTTGTTTGTTTTACATAGTGGCTAAGGCAGTCCTTATGCTATATGTTGTAGGTGACTCTTGTTTTTTCTTCCAGTACTGTTGGGTGTTTGGTTTACTTAGGTTGTTTTCAATGGCTTTAGTTGGTTTGTGTGCTTCAGTGATGCCATGTAGTTGTTATCAATAGATAATACCTCTTTATTTTTATTGTGCTGAATTTTTAAAATGTTTTACGATTGTAAACCACAAGGAAATAGTGAATTCAAGCAGAAATATAAATAATAGATTGTTCCTAACTTCATGGGTATTAAATTTTCAAATTGAAATAAATAAAAATAAATGTAATTTTATAATTTATTTCATTATTTGTCTTTTTCCCCCCCTAGTATTTGTTATTTTCACTTGGATATATTTTAATTTCAGGCTAGATATGAAAACTTGGGTTACTGACTTCAGGAAGAAAATGTAAGTTGATGGAATTTTTGGAAGCATTTTTAAATAATATTTTTCATTTTTTCAGAAGCTAATATTAGGGTTCCAAGTAACACCCACCATGAAAGAATATTAAAGATGGCTTCCAGGTCTGACAGCTTTTGGTCTAAACTGGGTTACTGAATTTGTTAAAGACATTGGAAAAACTACCAATAAGTTTGTTTTGATTTATATATTACTAAAACTCTTGTTCTCTTATTCTTTAACTGGGCAAAATGGTGCATCATGGGGCAACAATTTTTGAACCAAGGCACTTCAAATCGGTTAACTTTTGGAATGCATCCAAAACCTGGGACCTATGACTTACATGAAATTGAAATTTGGCAACTTTTATAAAACAGCTTAGGATATAAAATATTATCATAAAACAGTTTATGACCTAATGCCAAATGTCATAAAACATTTCTTGTACTGATGTTTGACTATGCTTTACAGTTCAGCATGGGTTATTTTCAAGGTAGATACAGTGAAGGCAATACATTAGAAGCTCTTTCACTGTTGAACGCTTTGAGGAATCTGGAAAGGAAATATCTCTGAAATGGCTCATGGGTTGTCTAGTTATTTGTGATTAGTTACAAATATCGAACAACTATGGTACTTCATTTAAAGGTTCAGAACAGTAAGTATCCATTATTTTCCTTAGTTCTTTTTAATACATTGTTTAACTTCTCACAATTCATTCCAGCATTTTTGAATATTAGAACTCAAATTGTCATTGTCTTATTCAGTTGAGGTTACAAACAACCTTTACCCTATATTCCATTTCTGTCTGGAATTCTTGTATACTTTAATGACTAGCACAGATCATTTGAAAATGATCTGCAACTCTGCAGCAAAATGATCTACAAGGCAACTGACCCACAAACTTTCTGCTCATCTTTTGAAATTATTACTATAAGTAGTAATAAAGAACTTCATACAAAATGCAGTACTGTGAGCGGTAATAAAGTTTTACAATCTGTTTTGATCAGATTGGGAAGGAAATCTGTTCTCTCAAAATTGCAAAATTCTGTTAATGTAGCCTTGCAATAGTGTAGAATTAGCTCCTCTAATTTTGTTTCCCGTCTAGTTTACCTGGGAGGGCTGACAAAATAGGATAGACCAGGGGTAGTCAACCTTTTTATACCTACTGCCCACTTTTGTATCTCTGTTAGTAGTAAAATTTTCTAACCGCCCACCAGTTCCACAGTAATGGTGATTTATAAAGTAGGGAAGTAACTTTACTTTATAAAATTTATAAAGCAGAGTTACAGCAAACCCCTACCACCCACCATGAAAGCTGGAACGCCCACTAGTGGGCGGTAGGGACCAGGTTGACTATCACTGGGATAGACAAACAGCTAGAAAGACTGATACTAATGGAGGATCCCCAACCTAGCATTCAGCATGCCCTATTAACAGGACCACTGTCTATTGTTATTGTCTTTTTAATGACATATGGCAACTTGGTATCTCAAGTCCTTCAATACAATTTTCTCCTTAAGTATATAAATTTGATCTCTAAATTACTTTTTTAACAAAACTTTGTTCAGTCCCAACTTTCTTTGATTTTAGTCATGGAACTGCATTGTACTTGTGCTTTAATAATATTTTTTAACTGTTTAGTTCAGAATAGTCATTGTGGCTTAGGTTTACAAGTGCTAATTTTTTACTTTTTTAAATAACTACTTATTACACATTTTCTTATTGTTTTTAGGTATTAAATAATAAAGTATTTATTTCCTGTAATTTAATACTTTAAAAAAAAAATCACTGTATATTTGTCAAGGTTCAATGTACTTGCCAATTGTTATTGTCCATCCTCACAATCAACCAGGCTATGGGAAATCTTTATTATTCCTAAACAGGAACAGGACAGGAACTAAACTGCATAATTGGCAGCGAATATCATCTCCTTAGCCCAACATTCCATCTCCAGCAGTTGCCAACCAATTATTGCCAGAGTGAGATGGTGGTTCTTGTTGTATATAGTGGTTGGTTGGAGAGTTAATTCTCAGCTTCCTTAACATAATCAACTGTAATCATGACAACTGCCCTCCATTGTCAGCTGTTGTTCTTGGGATCTTAAATGGCATTCTGCTCTATTAATATTATTGTATCAGGAGAATACATAATTGTGGCTTGGTCTTATTAGCGATAGCTTTCAATGTAGAAATCTAACAGTGCAGTATCCATTTGGGAATATCTGTGCAGTATTTTTAAAAACATAGTTTGATTTGGTATGAACTATGTTTGCTTATTGTCCCAGGATATGAGGTGTTAGAAATAGTATGCTTGTTCTAGATAGTATCTTGAAAGTATAGGAAGTCCTTGGATTATGATTCTAATTGGGATCAGGATTTTCATCAAGTGAAGTGGTCATGCAAGACACATAACTATGCTGCTTAGTAAAGCAGTTTCAGCAGTCCCAGTTGTGCTCATGTGATGCTATAACTGGTCATAGATATGGGTTGTTACAAGCATCTAAATTTGGATCACATTACCAAGATCTTGCAATGGCCAGAATTTCAAGGGCTTATTGTAACTACCATTCATTCAGTAATATCATAACTTTGAAAGATCACTAAATGCATGGATGTAGTTTGAGGACTAATAGTGAAAAAAGTGTTTCATCTAAGTTGTAAATTATGCGTGGATTTAGTGGGTCAAAGGATACACAATTCTCCTTGGCTGAATGGCTGCACAGATTCACAATATTTTGGAGAATCTATGAGCTCTTCACACTGTGGTAAGTGGAAGGGTGCAGCAGCTTAGATAGTAAAACATGAAGCATATTCAGTTGGTGAATATAAACCGTACATCCATTTAATATAATCATTGCCAAAGGTTCACTATTACTGTCAGACCTCGAGGCACGATGGCACATCCAAGTCTTCAGGCCCCATCAGAAGGGTAGGTTTCAGTCTAGGTTCTGGGGGAATGAGAGCAAACATCATGACAAAAAAAACTCTCTCTTCCTAGATCTTGTGAGATTACATTTTTTAATAGATAGGACATGTAACATGCCTCTCCTGCTGGATCTGCTAGATAGGATGAGTAGATGTAACTGGAAAGAGGAGGTCCCTCAATAAATATGTTGACAGTAGAAGATTCTTCACCTTTAGTCTTTTAAGAATGATGTCATGTTGCTTGCTTCTGGTTAAGAAGATAGCATTGGATTATACCTATGACAGTTTCTTGGAAAGTTTTATGGATTTTTATATATGCAAAAAATCAAAATGGAAGAGGAAGATAACTTTTAATGTAACAGAATTTGGTGGCACTAAGAGAGAGTTTACCTCCCATAGACACAGATAGTATCAGAAGGATATGGCTGAAATTATTAGGGTTAAAAGCATCAAATAGGATGGGCAAAACCAAAGTAATTTAGTAAGAAATGTCAAACATATGACAAAGAGGCTGAAGATGATTTTGAGATGAGGAATAAAATTAAATAGCTATCTAAAGAAAGACCTACTATAGTAATTTGTAATATTAATTTTTTCTAGTTGTAACATAAATGTAAATATGTTCTAATTATAATAAAGAAATTGGATTTTTACAAATTCTAAATTGTCTTAAGACTAATAGATCATAGAAAAAATTTTGAGGGATAACCTTTGATATAAATCTATTGGTATACCCTTGTAGTTTCTGTAGTTATAGAAAACCTATTGCAAATTTCATAGCTTTTATAATAATCTTTGTGGGTTTTTCATGCAATGGAGTAACATAGTTAACCTTGCAGAGGTGAGGGGATAACTTATAATTAAATGCATTAAAACAAATACATTATCATGAAAACAGATATAAAGGCAGTAAAAATTAAAACCAAATGTTGTAGTCATAAAAGCAATTTGGAAAGGTTAAACGTGATCAGGAAAATAAAAAAGGGAATTTGCCAAAGACACATTAATATAAGCAGCAAGCAAATTTCTAATCCAAGATCACAAAAACTGAATAGGTTCTCTAGCACAGCAGATGGAGGATCTAACAACTTCAACACTAGGTGTGCAGCTTTAAGAGAGAGGACATTTTCAAATTGTCCAGACAAACTCAACTGACTGATGCACCCCACAATACATTTCCAATGCTGTTATTTTAAAACAGAATAGTTTTAAGAAAAGGGACTGAATCCACAAAATATGTCATATTGGCCCCTCAACTGAGAAAGGTTATGCTCACCTACTCCAGAACACTGTAGTATCCAAACAGAAGAAAGCCACCCAGCAAGAAACATCAAGAATACCCCCTTCCAAATGGAGACCATTTTCCAAAAAGTATTTCATACCTACCCTTTTATACTAGTTCCTTGATATATTTTCAGCCTCCCTGAAAACCGGGGTCCCAGATGAATCAAGCTGTCAAATCAATTTCCCTGATTCAGAATTAAACCACCTTTTCTTTTCTGCTCCACCAGATTCCCCACTCAGGAACTGATTAATGATTTCTTTGAAGCTGAGATAATCATTTATAATAAACTACATCACTATTATCCCATGCTCCTTCACTTCCATTCTTTCTCGAAAGAACGAAATGCTTCTCTTTCTCTGGCAGGAAGACAATTTTTGAACTCTTTGTACTTCTGACCCAGTTCAAAGACGGAACCCCCATTTTCTCCCTCCCTTTCCTGAACCTAGAATACAGCTCTGGACAAACTAAGGGTTTTTTCTGCCCTGAGTAACCCTCCCCAAGCCTTTCCCGCACTTCGTTGGCCTCACGCTTCTCAGCTTTTTATACAGCCCCCCTTCTCTGCAGCCTCCTCCTGCCACCCCACCCCGCGCTCTCTCCTCCCACTAGCTTTCTCGGCTCTCTCCCTCCCTCTCCGCTCCTTTTTTTTCTCCACCTCCTCAATACCAGCCGCCCCTCGGCCTCAACATGCAAGCCTCGCCACGATTGGCCAAGCAGCCTCATCCTTTCCATGCGGGATGCGCGGATTGGACGAGCCAAGGCTTGTCGCCTTGCCCGTTGTGAGAGTGTAGAGAGGGGACGGGGAAAGGGAGGGCCTTTTCCCCTCCTCCCCCTCGCTCTCTCTCTCTCTCTCTGGCAGTGTCCATGGCTCCTCCTGCCACGGAGAGGCGACGGGCTTAAGCCGAAGCCGGGCCGGCTGTGGGTGACTCCCTTGAGAGAAACCTTTTTGGGGGGGCTGGGGAGGGGTGGGAGGGAAAAGCGCGAGCTCCAGAGTAGGGGAAAGGGGGTCACCAGCGGCACGAGCATCCCCCTCGTTAACCGCCGCCGGCGGAGGAGAGACCCGGGCGGCAACGGAGGCATAGGAGGAGGCGCCTTCCTTTTCTCTGAGCGAGCTCCTCTGGGCCGGTCTCCTCAGCCAGGAAACCTTCCTTCCCCCTCTCCTCCTCCTACTCCTCCTCCTCCCCCACCTCCCCTCCCCAAGTCTCGTTGCCGGAGGAGCGACCCCCTCTCCTCCCCCCGCCCGAACCGGCAAATGAACTCGGTCCGAGCCGCCAACAGGAGACCCAGGCGAGTGTCCAGGCCGCGCCCGGTGCAGCAGCCGCCGCCACCGCCGCCACCGCCTCCTCCTGTTCAGCCGCCTCAGCAGCAGCAGCAGCAGCAGCAGCAGCAACCCCTGCAACTGCCGCCGCCACCTCCACCGCCGCCGCCGCCGGAGAGGAACAACAACAACGCCGTAGCTGCCGCCGCCGCAGCCGCTATCGCCGCTGGGGAACGGGGTAAGCGAAGGAGGGAGGGGCGGCAAGGACAAGGGCGGCAAAGGGGCGCGGGCAGAGGAGAGACGGCGAAGCGGGTGGGGTTCCTTTCTCCCCCTACCCCCACCCCCTGTGCCAGCCCTAGATACGCTTCCCCTGTTCCGTGGACCTGTTAGGGACATAGGCCGCGCTTTGTTTGGCTCGGGCCCTCCTTGAGCTTTGGATTGCCAATAAACTATGGGTTCCTCTCAGGTACTTTTGGGGGGGGGGTGTTGAATAGAGAGCACAGAGCCTCCTCTCGGTTCCCCCAAGAGAAAAAGGGAGAGTAAGAGGACGAAGAGGCCCCGGGTCCTTTCCCACCTTCTCCCCGGTGGTTTATTTTAGCCGTGGGAGGCAAAAGCTTCCCCCTGTGTCCGGGACACGGTGTGTATCCCAGTAACTTGTGTTGACACATTTCCTTTTATTCTCTTTAACCATCTCCTCCTCCTCTTCGGCGGCGGCTCTTCCCTCCCTCTCCCCCCCCTCCCCGGGTTCTCTCTCTTTTTGTAATGGTGTCTCATGGAGACAAGAACTGCTCTCTCACCCCCTCCTCTTCCTCTCTCTCCCCCTCTCTCTCCTCCCTCGCCCTGCCCCAGTGTTTTTGCTGCGCAGTTTGCATGGCTTTGGTTACCCGGACCCCCGAAGAAAAAAATGATCCGAGATAGGGAGGGATTCGGAGGGTGGCACGAAAGAAAGGAATTGCAGACCCCTCGTTCCTACATAGGCGGCGTTTTTGTCAGGGGTAGATCATCGGCCATTTATTTATCTGCTTCCTTCTCTTTCCCCTTCTCGCCCCCTTCAGTCTGTCGCACCACTCTCACACACTGGCCTAAATAAAAACCCACAAATATTTGTTCCTGGTGTCAGGCTGCTGCGGGTGGCGGTAGAGAAACCTTCGTCGTTTTTCCGCGCGTGTGAAGGTTTCAGTTCCCTGCTTGTCGGTCGGGGCCTAGCATAAAAATAATAAGATTGAGACCAATTAGACAAGCACCATTGTTTGAAAGAATTGGAAATGTAATCATTAAAGGGATTCCTGTTTTCCCTCATTCTCTAATAGAATATTTACATGATCACCGGAAAAATGAAATAAAACCCAGATCTGGGGGCGGGGGGAAAGTGTTGGAAAAGGAGGAGGGCGATCATTTTCTCACTAGGCTGCGTAACTGTTGCCATATTAATTGGCTAGGTTTCTCTCCCAGTGTTGGTGTGCTGTCGTCGCAGGGTTATTTTCTAAAGGAGAAGAACGGGTGGGATCGGAGGAGACATTTTGCATGTATTATCCATTGGGTTGGATTTTAATTTTTTATGCACTGGGTGTCGCACCTTTCTCATAAAAGGGAAATGACCTATGAATTTGGTCGGTTAATAAAACACCTTTAGCTGTTGTCAGAAGAATGGCTTTTGTTTGAGTATGTAAGAATAATTTACTAGGGATAACATGCTAAAATTCAGAAGTACATGGTGATGTATTTTTTTTTAAGATGTAAGTGAGGGATTGTTAACTCTGAACTTGTTCATAAAGAATCCCAGGATGCTTTTAATTCAGCTCCTCACAATCCAATCAAACAAGAATGTTGCAGGAACCAGATTATTTTTAGAAGATGCGGGTTTTTTTGCCTATAGTTTATGTAAAATGTAAAAATAATTTTGATACAATTACATAATTATTAATGTTCTAATGTATCATTTGAAACAAATCACTTCTTTTGAATATCATGTAGACTTTTTGCTTTTGGATTTATGTAGTAATAATTTCTAAATAGTTTAGCAAATTTTGTGAATAGTGAAAAATACAACTAAAGTAACATTGCATTTCATTTGCTTACTACTTGATTGAGAATTATAACATAAATGAAATAGATACTAGATTTCAGAAGTAGCGTTCAAGCAGTACTGATTAGCTCCTGGAAATTATTTTTCCTGTAACACATTAAAATTGGATAATATCCTTCTGTTTATGTCAAACATAAATATTCATGCTGCAACTAAGACAAAAAGGAGTACATCTAGTTAATCATAGCAGGTCAGGTGAAGGAGATTTTATGAAGCTAGATCAATGATTAACACATAGAAATGCTATACATTAAGACATTTAATTCATTGATTGAGAAAGTGTTAGAGTAACAAATTTATAAAAATATAACTTTAAAGTGCTTCTTCAATAAGATTTTAATCTATCATCATTAAAAGTCTTTAGCTGATAGCAGGCTTTCCTTAAGTTTTGATTTTCTGGTATTTTAAATTTCTACTTAAAATCTTTAAGGCTATTGGTGTATGTATGTATGTATGTACGTATGTATATATGTATCAGAGGTGGGTTGCTGCCGGTTTGGTCTGGATCAGGCGACCGATAGTAGTGGCGGTGGGAGGCTCCACCCACCTGCCCAGATGCTTCTGTGAGTGAGTGCCCATACCAGTAGTAAAAAAATTAGCAACCCATCTCTGGTATGTATGTATGTATATGTTGGTTGGTTGGTTGTCCGTCCATCTTGTGGTTCAGTCATGAATAAGATTGTTAATGAATGAGACTTGAGTTGTAAAAATGTTACAAATTCAATTTGTTCCCTAAACCTCTTTAACAGAAAATCTACCAAGGGAATGGTTGACAGGAATTTTAAGAGAAACCAACCAAGTGAAAGAGTAAATGTAGGATACAGTTATTAACATATAATAAGATAAAAAGGTAAATTACACCCTATATAGGAAGTTAAAATTTTTTAGATCTACAATATAGCCAAAAATCAATAATTTATTCATGAAAGTTTTAAAAACGTAAATTTGGCCTGGTATTTGTGTCTAAAATTTAGATCTGTTTTTCAGTTTGTTTGGACTGTTGTATTAGTTTGGTTTGAATATTCAAATCGCAGTGATAATTTCATCATATAAATGATTTAGTTGACAGGATTGGAATGAAGTATTCCTTGCTCAATGCATTGTAAAAATAGTGGTGATTTAGATTCAGGATGAACATATTAAATCTTAATAACTTGCAGATATAAAAAAATGAATCTATGTGTAAACCTTGAACATTGTCCAAAAAATAGGTGAATTATACACTGAATACAGCATTTTTTGCCTCCTGAAGCCCTGCCCCTTCACCAAAATGGCCATGCATAGCCTTATGGAAGCTTTCAGTGAGCTCCTGATGGCTGGGGAGGACAGAAATGTGTGAAAAAAGGACCATTTTTTGCTCAATTCTGCCTCCCCAGCCCCCAGGAACACTCTATAAGCCTCCATAAGGCTATGCATGCAATTTGTTTGACAAAAAATGGCCCGTTTTTGCAAAAAAATGGTTCTTCTTTGCTTGTTTTTGCCACCCCACACCCAAGGAATACTCTGCAAGCCCGCCCAAGGCTATTCATGCCTTTAAAAAAAAAAACAAGCCCGTTTTCGTGAAAAATGGGACATTTTGGGGAGATTTGCAGAGTGCAAAAACTTCCCCCCCTTTCAGAAAGCTGTTTAATTAGAGGGATTGATGAGAATTACATTGGTCAAGTGTTATTCCAGCAGAAACAAAGTTTTAGGTGCTACAGGTTGTCAGAGATTTCCTTCTCCAGCACATAGATAAAATACACCTGGAAACATCTACTACCTACTCTCTCCCTACCTACTGTATTTCTCTCTCTCTCTCTCTCTCCCCCTCTATCTATATACCTACCTACCTACTCTCTCCCCCTCTCTCCCCCTACCTATCTATTTCTCTCTATTTTTCTCTCTCTATCCCTCTACCTACCAACATACTACTCTCTCTCTCCCTATCTATCTACTGTATTTCTCTCTCCCTCTCCCTCTACCTACCTACACTCTCTCTCCCCCCCCCTACCTACCCTACTGTATTTCTCTCTCTTTCTCTCCCTCTCTATCCCTCTATGTACCTACCTACCTTTTAAAAAAAATTGCCTCTTCAAAACCTGGGTGCGTCTTAAACTCCGAAAAATACGGTATGATACTAGAGAAGTAGTTTTTTTAAATCAAGATAAATGTAAAAAAGATGCGTTGATGGTATTTTGA